ATCCAACAAGAACGAGTCTATATATGTGTATATATATGTATATATCTGTATATATATATATATATGTATAGTGACGGGTCCTGTTATGGCGGTACCTACGACATTGTATCCAGAGCTGGTTGGGGTCTTGTATCTGTTAACGAGGATGGAGGATTTATCAGAGGCAGCTATGGCAATGTTCCTGGTTTCCTTCCCCAGAGTTCTGTTTCCGGCGAAGTCTACGCGCTCCTGTCTGGCCTCGCGCACCTCGAGCCAGATCAGGAAGACGACCCCGACGGGGTCGAGTATGTGATTCCTATTGATTGCGAAGCGTTGCCAGGAGGATATCGTGATCCCTGGAAGGCTATTTCAGGTGCCAGTCCGCTGTCAGAAGTATGGCGTGCCCTTGATCGTTCAGCAGTTCCCCAGTCGCGTCTGAAAAAAGTCAAGGCCCATGCGAAAGGAAAGCTCACGGGAGTCGCCTTGCGACACCAGCGCGGCAATGACAAAGCCGATGAGATTGCTAAAGATGGAGCTAAACGTCATCAGCCAGGGGTCCTTAATGACATTAACAGATGCGAGGTGTGTCTAGCAGGCTGGGAAGAAGTAGCTTTAGGTATGGCCAATATTCTCTTAGAGCTTCCGAAAGCCAAAGTTCTATTCGGGGATTTAGCCCGCAATCCGTCTACCCCGAGACCGAAGGTTGTCTCCAGCGGTCGCCCTCACCGCGTGCTCTGGACTGGTTTATCGTGGAGGTGCGTCCAATGTGCCCGCACCTTCAGCAATCAGCGCCCCAAGAGCCCGCGCGCCGCTTTGATCCCCAGCCTAAGGCAGGTGGTGGAGTTGGAAGTCTCTCCCCCACACAAGTTGCGTGTGTGTCGCATTGCAGAGACGAATCTACCCTTAGTGTTTTGTTTGTGTTGCGGGGCCTACACTTCGGGCCTTCCCCGTAAAATCGGCGAGCCTTGCAATAAGATCTTCAAGCAACAGAGGTTTCAGATTCTGAATGGCAAGTGCCCATGGCCTAAGGGCCTGCACTTGACGCGTCCTTGGCCCCTGGCTCGCCCAGAAGAGGACCCTGGCGGCGAGTGGTGGGGCAAGATGCGCTACCTCTAATGAAATTGTTTTTTTGCCATCTCACTTCCATATTTTCCCACAGCCCTTATCGATCATGGATTGGAAGGAGCAATGAGAGAGCCATTGGAAAAAGAAGGGGGATCACGCAGGGGAGGGGAGGGGGGGGGGGACGGGGGGCAAGCTAGGTGCGCTCGCGTCATATCTGACGTCGCGCCCCCCCCTCCCATCCTTTACTATGGCGTAGACATCCTCTCTTCGCACAGTCGGATGTCGAGCAGGGCAACGGTCGCGAGAGGGTACGCGATGCATTGTAAAGCACTGCGTGGCATGGCGTAGAAGAGCATGGCGAAGCGTAGTATGCCATAGCATGGCGTAGCATTGTGCAGTGAAGCATTGTACCACAAAGTATTGCAACGCAAAGCATGGCATCGCATGGCGGCGCAGATAACAAAACCGCCGCACAGCATGTCATGGCATGGTGCCTGGATCCTTGGAGGGTAAGTGGATCGTCTTCGAGAGGTCTGGGCCAGTCTGGAGTCGTGACTCCATGTCTAGCTCCTTGGGCTCCCCGAAAAGCTCCACACAAGGCGGGGCTAATGGAGAGCCCCTCTTGACTCTGCTTTCAGCATTGCCCTCTCAAAGGAGAAACGCGGCTCCCGCTTGATAGTTCCTGACAGCGACGACGCTCCCCAAATTGGGTGGGGGCTTCTGCGGCCCCAAAGAGCAACGAATCGACACCGAATGTGGAGCCACTTCCGATGATCTTTTTTCGGGGGTCATTTTTTAGATTTTGGGACCTATTTGGAAGGACCGATCTCGCCCGCGTTGCAGCAGGAGCGCGATTTGGAACAACCAGAGGCGCAGAAATGGGGTCAGCGCTTCAGTGGGAGCAACATTGCGAAAACAAACCCAAACGAAAACCCATCTCCTGGGAATCCTGTGTAAGAAACAGTGTTCGGAAGGGGGGGCAGATACTCAGCCTCAGCCTCAGCTTCAGCCTCAGCCTCATCCTCCTCTTCTCCCCCTCCTCCTCCCGTCCCTCCCTCCCTCCCCCCCTCCCCCCCAATCGGTTGGGACGCTGCCCGCGCGACCCCCCCCCCCCTGGGCGCTCCCTAGGAGGCCCGGGGGGGACCCACCGCGGGGAGGCTCGCGAATATCGGCTACGCGTAAGAGTGACCCTTCGTCGGAGGGCCCTTTGGTGCGGGCCCACGGGCCCGGGGTCCCCCGGGCCCTGGCTTGGATTTTGCCTCCCCCGCGGCCTCCCAAAAAGTCGCGCGCCAAAGGGCACTCTTGCCTAGGGTCACTCTGACGTGCAGCCGCGAAGAGGAGCGCGGAGGCGAAAAAGTGCACGCGGCACCGACGAGGGGGGCGCAGGGGTCCGAGGCTCGGACAAAAATTGGAGCGGCCGGTTTTTGATGGTATTCGACCTTTGGGGGCCCTCGGCGGGCCCCGGGACAACCGAAAAAACAACTCGGAGCAAAAGCTGGCCCTGCTGGGGAACTGGTCCGGACCTCTGTGAGTCCACGCATCGAAAAAATTGAAGCGTCGGATGTCTGGTGCGCGGAGGCGCAAAAGCGCGTGCGTGGCGCCGACGACGAGGATCAACATCGATCCTCCTCGCCACATCTCTGCGGCTTTGTGTCTTTCAGCCGGCGGGTTTTCATAGACTTCGGCCCGTTGGGGGCCGTCTTCGGGCCCCAGAACAATCAAGATTGGTCGGGGATGCGAATGCAACGCCCCCGTGGAAACGACCACGGCCTTTGGGGCCGCGGATTCAAAACCATATCGGCGGATGGCAAGGTCCTCCTCCTCATCTGCCTCCGCCTCCTCCTCCTCATCCTCTGTTCCCAGCTCTCATTCTGCTTTTGGGGGTTCTTGGGGCCTCCTGGGGCCTCTTTGGGCTTCTAGGGGCATCTACGGGACCTCTTGGCCTTTGGAGGCAGTCGTGGCCCCCCTCCCCCAAAGTTCCCTTGCTAGAGTGCCAGTGGCGAGGGCGGTGCGGCCCCCGCGCCGAGTGCGCTGGTTAGTCGGAATGGCGCTGGTGCTCCCAGGACCCCTCATAGTTCGGAGCATAGGCGATGGATCGGCGGTAGGGCTCGGAGGAGGAGCAGGTACACATGCTGCTGCCCTTTCCTCGTTTTCCCTTTGCTGGGCCTCCTGGGAGGCCCTCGACGGCACCGCTTCGGGGTTCAAGAGACCACCGTCAGTGCAAACGGGTCAGTCAGACCGCCGGATCTTGCAGGATTCTGCAGGGCCAGGGTTGCATTGACCCGGGCTTGGGTGCAGGAACCTGCAGGATCCTGCAAGCCTGACTGATCCGGGTCTGGATTGACCCGGGTCAGAAGATCCCCGACTACTGGATTCGCCCAGAAATTCTGGTCAGGACGCACCCTGGGAGATGTCCGGGCAGCAGCGGTATGAGTACCTTTTGATTCTCCCCCTTTTTTACGATTCGAAGGATCGGCGGTGTAATCCATCGATAGGTGGTGCAGTCAAGGCGTCGCAATAAGAACCCGTTCGGGCACGAAGGAAGTTCGATGTTCCTGAGGTCCTTCCGTGGTGTCTCTAGCCCTCCTCGTGGACGCTGGCATTCTCGGGCCAAAACAGGGGCTTCGTTCATAATCTACCGTTCCTTATTTCAGCAGCTCGGCTGTAGTTCAGGAGATCGGCGGTTTATTCATCGATGCGCCGTAGACCAGATCAGAACTCCACGAGGTGCATCGATATCGGTATCCCCTTGCTCTCCGGAGACGTCCAGGAGTGTCCTTCCATTCATCTCTTTTGCAGGGAGGAGGCGCACGGAACGAGGGCAGCGAGGGGGGAGGATGTGCTGAATGTTGCAGCGGCAGCAACACCAGGACGAGAGAGGCAGCAGAAGCGAGCAATAGCAAGAGGGAGCGGCCCCAGAGCGCCTCCTCGACGGCACGGTGCGCCACCCCGCGGCCGCGCACATCTTGCCGGCCGCTGCCGCGACGCCGGGCGCAGCCGCTGCGGAGGGCGCCCGGTGCAAGGAGGAGCGTTACCCTGACACGGGCGGCAAGGTTGTCGTCCCGTGCGCCGTCGGAACCTGGGACCGCGCAGACCGCAGGCTCTCCAACTTGTTGGACGAATTGGCTGTCCTGGCGGCGCAGCGCCAATGGAACCGCGGCGTCCTGCCCACGCGCTGGGGCGGTCGCTGGCGGACGCTGATCGGGCCCTGCTGGACGCGGTGCCCGCCCTGTGCCGGCCATGCGGCGCCGTGCGGGCTAGGGCGGCGCGGGGCGCCCCGGCCGCGGGCCAGGCGGGCGCCCGGGCCGCGTGCCGGGCAGGCCGCGGGCCAGGCGGCGGCGGCGGCGGAGGGTAGCCCTCTTCGCTTCGGCCCCCCCCCCCCCCCCCCCCCCCCCCTTATCCCATGCATGCATGCGCTGCTTCGAGGTATTCATAGTTGGACTGACGACAGAGAGAGAGAGAGAGAGAGAAATAACAACAACAAAAAGAAACGAAGAGATATTGAGAGATGGCGATCGAGAGGGCGGGCAGACAGGGAGGGAGGAGTTCCCCCGCCTAGGCCCCCCCACCTGCCTTCCCTCTTCATTTAACCGGTCCTCCCTCTTCTCACCCACCACGGCCACCTTTCCAAAGTGGTGACGTGCATACAAAGTGGTTTGGAGGCGCGATCGGGACAGACAAGATACAGGTCCTCGGTGCTTCCCTCCCCCCCTCCATCCCTCCCTTCCTCTCCACGTTCCCTCCCTCCCTCCGCTTTCTCCCTCCGTCCCTCCCCTCTCTCCCTCCCTCCCCTGGCCCCCTCCCTCCTCTGGCTCCCTCCCCCCCCATTCACTTTCTTTCCCTCCCCTCCCTCCCTCAATCTCCCTCCCTCAATCTCTCTCCCTCCCTCCGTCCCTCCCCTCCCCATCCGTCCGACTCTGTCTCCGCCTCTCCCTCCCCTCCCTCTCTCTTCCCCCAGAGCCACCGCGCACATCGAGACGGCGGGGGTGGGGGAGGGCGCCGCCCACCCTCCCCTGTCCGGCTGGGGGGGGGGCCAAGAGGCGGGTGATGACGTCGGGGGGGGGGGCACATGTCGGCGGCGAGCGAGGCGGCAGGGTTTCTGAATGGGCTGGTGGGGGATGCGCGAAGCGCGAAGTCTTCCGCAGTTCGATTAATTTGTTGACGGTCCTGCGGCCCGTTGAGGATCCCCGGAATCCAACAAGAGCCCCAAACCAACCATTCAAATGTTTTCGGAGCTTCGGATCTATGGATTCTAGGTTCTCTCGGCGGCGATGGGGGGGAAGTGATAAAGAGAAGGTATTATCAGAAGGCGGCGGAAGTTCTCAGAAAACCTCGCGCCTTCTGAAAAAGTGTTTTGTGTCTTCGGGGAAGGTTCAGACAATTTCTCAGAAGGTCCGGGGACTTCGAGTCTTTGAGAAGGCCCGCCCTTTTTCATTCCCCCTCCCCAGCCCAGCCGCCGAATCGTGGCCAGTGCCACGAGGGTTCCCGGGATGTCATGGCCCTCTCGTTTTTTTTCGTGCGTCGTTGGGCCCTTCGCTTCTAGGATGTAGCGCGTGGGAAGGTTGATGCAGAATCGGCGCCGGCTTGTCCCTCCGTGGTCGAACGATGGCCTCATCTGGCTGGGTGCAGCCCGCATCGGGTTGAAGCCCGCTCGATCTGGCCTGATCCCAGGTTTCGTACGGCGTAATCAAGGGCTGAATCCGGCCCAGTCCAGCGCTGTGGCCCCGAACGATGGCCTCATCTGGCTGGGTGCAGCCCGCATCGGGTTGAAGCCCGCTCGATCTGGCCTGATCCCAGGTTTCGTACGGCGTAATCAAGGGCTGAATCCGGCCCAGTCCAGCGCTGTGGCCCCCCAGCCGGGCTCGATGGCCCTTGATCGTTCTGGCGAAGACATCCCAGGAGGTGCCTCCTGCAGTGGAAGCCCATGCAGACAAAAACCCTGCTTGCCTCCACGGTGCCTGGGGTTTCGATGGTTTTGCGATGGGAAGCGTGACATTAAGATCGATGGACGTCCTGCGGTCTCAGGGTTGGGTTTCTTGTGCAAGGTTTCTTGTGGTCGGGCCCCTACTGTAACTTCGTCCGCGCACGTGCCTCGAGCCCTGATTTGCGAGCCTCCCTCTTGGACGCCCCCCTTTGACGCCCGCCGACGTGATTTGAGCAGTCCGCGGCCCCAGAGTGGAATCGGGAATGTCCCTCTACAGGAGGGATATCCGAAAATAGCTTCAGCAAGGACATCGTGTGGGGACGATTGTTCTAGTATCTTTCAGTTGTCCTCCAATGTCTGCCTCTGGGAGGACGTGCCCGACCTAACCTCGGAGGTCCCGACCGCTTCCCTGGGGGTCGCTCCTCGTTCCTGAGTTTTTTTTCTTGCCCTGGGGCACGATAAAGGATCGCGGGTGCCGAAGTCGAAGCAACATGCCAGGATTGATGCTGGCAAGACGATCCATATCCATTGCCTGTTGGTGTTTCGGGCCCCCTCCCCAGGCACCCGAGGCGCAGTGGATATGGATAAACATCGGACCCCTCCAGGCTAAATGGTTATCCATGTCCAACGCCTCGGTTTTGTGGCGCCCCTCCCCAGAAAATCCAAGACGCATCAGATGCGGATATCAGAGCGAGGGGACCGAACTGTCATCCAGTGCCCCTGAATGCGTGGCAGAAGTGGCGTTCCGTCCAGCGGATTCTGCTTGTGTTGTTGAATTCTCATTTCAGAATAATCATTGTTGATCCCCCCACCATTGCATACTGTTTTTTCGTAATCAAAGTGTGCCCCTCGACGCTCGCACCCTGTTTTTTGACAGGGAAAGTCTTCCTGCTCAAACTGGGCCCCTGGCCCCCGGGTTACAACAACAACGACGGCTCCCGCCTGAGACTTCCTTACAATTTAGCCAGGATCCCCTCTCCTGCCCGTGACTTCCTCGCATGTTATTTAGGAATCCGCACATGTTATTTAATCGCTTCGCTCATTCCGCCGGCCCATATTGTCGCACCGTTGTGGGCTAGCCGAGTTTGGGGGCCTCTTGGGGGCCGTTTTGGGGCCTCTTGGGGTCTCTTTTGGGCCTCTTGGGCGCCTCTTGGGGTGTCTTGGGGGCCTCTTGGGGGCCTCTTGGGGCCTTTTTGGGGCCTCCTGGGCGCCTTCTGGGGCGGAGGGCTCGATTTTTCAGTTCTCGGTTCCCCTCTTGAGCCCCTCTTGGGCCCGTCTTGGGGCCTCTTGGTCCGTCTTGGGCGGCACTTGGGCCGTCTTGGGGGCCCTCCTGGGCCGTTCCGGGGCCGTCTTGGGAGCCTCGTGGGCCGTCTTGGAGCGGTCTTGGGGGCCTCTTGGGCCGTCTTGGAGCGTCCGGAAGCCGAAAAAGCCAGAACGCAAAAAACATAGAAAAAACAATGAAAATCAACGATGTTGGCCTCTTGGGGCCCTCTTCGGAGGCCTCTTGGAAGGCCCTTGGGGCGTCTTGGAGGCCTCTTGGGCTGTCTTGGGGCCCTGTTGGGCGTCTTCGGGCGATCTTTGGCCGTCTCGGGGCCCTCTTGGACCGTCTTGGAGGCTTCTTGGGGACCTCTTGGCCCGTCCTGGGGCCCTGTAACAGGGCTCCAGCATCTCTGGCCCGACCTTGCCGGGACCTTGCCAGGGACTTGCCGGGGACTTGCCGGGGACTTGCCGGGACCTTGCCGGGGTACTTTTCGTCCGGGGACCCCCAGGGGCCGCCCCGCGCGCGCGAACTAGAAATACTGTTAACCTGGTACCGGAGATCTTAGCACGCCCTGGCCCGTTGGGCCGGCGAATTTAGGACTTCTTTACCATTTATTCAGGAATCGCTCTCCCGGCGCTCTGGAGTCGCGCTCTCGCTGGAGGTTTGCTTGCAACTTACTGATTTCGAAGAATGGCCTTGCGTTGGGATTTCCTGCAATTTGCCCAAGCGCCGCGCTCCCGACACCCAGACACACAGGAGTCGCGCCCGTTGTGGCCCCATGTGCATGCCCTTCGTGGCCCCGCTGTCGCCATTTGTGCCCTTCTCACTGTCCTACGTGGCCCAGTTGCTACCGTCAGTGGCCCCATAGTTGCCTTCTGTTGCCCCGCATGATGTGCACTTCGTGGCCCCCGCTCGTTCGCGCTTTTCGTGGCCCCGTACGCATTCCCTTCGTGTCCCCGCTGTCGCCCTTCGTGGCCTACTTCGTGCCTTTCGTGGCCCTGCTGTCGTTCTCTCTCGCTCTCGCTTTCGCTCGGCGTCGCCGTCGTCGTCGTCGTCGTCGCCGTCGTCTTCGACGTTATCGTCGTCGTCGTCGTCGTCGTCGTCGTCGTTGTCGGTCCCCTGTCCGTCCCTCCTGGGGTCGGGTCGACGGTCCGCGGCCGCCCCGCCGATCAGCGCTGCCGCTGGCCAGGCCGACCGTCCGCGGCCGCCCCGCCGCTTGCGGGGGCCCGGCCTGCATGGAAGAAAGGTATACCCCCAAAAGGGGTTCGATCGAAGACGAAGAGGGCGGGTATCGAGGGTTTGGGAAATACGCATTATTGGACACTCGAGCATATAAGGGCGAACAGTCTTAAAGTTATTGTTGTTGTTGTCGTCGTCGTCGTCGTCGTCGTCGTCGTCGTCGTCGTCGTCGTCGTCGTCACCCGCGACCTGCCCGCGACCCACCCCGCGACCCACCCGCGACCCACCCCGCGCCCGCCCCGCCATTCCCATCCGCCCTTGCGGGGTGTAACGTACATCTTGCCCGCGTGAAAACTTCACATCGTCGGAGCTCGGTGCCCCTCTTGCATTGCGCTCCGCCCCTCCGGCACCGCCCACGATGCCGCCCGCGGGCGCGCTGGCGGCGGCGCTGCTGCTCGCCCTCGAGGCGCCTCCCTCCGGTCGCAGCTGCGCGCCGCCAGCCGCAGGGGGCGGCTGGGGGCCCCCGAACCGTGTCGTGACCACGCTTGGAGCCAGCTGGGGGTCTGAGGTGGCCAAGCATCGGTTCCAGCCAGTGTCTGGGCGATCGTTGTCTTATTCATTGCTTTGCCGATGGGCGCGGGCCCTCGCATCCCCACCCTCCCCCTCCCCAGTGGAGTGGATCTTGGCTGTTTTTGGCGCCCGTCCCGAGCAGGCGGAGCCTCCCCCATAGGACGCACTGCTGCAAACAGTCGCATGAAGCAGGGGTCCGAAGCCAGACCCCCCCCCCCACCCCCTGCTTCCCCCCAATGTCGAAACGCCGAATAAGAAAACGGTCACTAGGCCATGTTTGGCCTCCGGTGGCCCTCCACGGGCCCCGGGTCCGCCAGAGAGCGTTTCGGGACGAGAAGCCGGCCCTCCAAGGAAGGATGCCCGGCCTCCTGGGGGCCCAGGCATGAGAAGATCAGGGGAGCGCCAGAGCTGTCTGGGCAGGCTACCTCAGAGGCGGAGGAGGAGGGGGAGGAGGAGGATGAGGAGGAGGAGGAGGAGGAGGAGGAGGAGGAGGAGCAGGAGCAGGAGCAGGAGGAGCAGGAAGAGCAGGAGGAGCAGGAGGAGGAGGGAATGGGTGAAGGAGCAGGAGGAGGAAGAGGAGGAGGAGGAGGAGGAGGAGGAGGAGGAGGAGGGAGAGGAGGAGCAGGAGGCGGACTCCCGCGCCGAGGGCACGTCTGCGCGGGCTGTCCCTGTCGAGCGGGGCGGCAGGTTGCTGCGCGGCATGCCGCTGCAGTCGTCAGTGCCCTTTTCCGGGGGGGGGGCTCGAGGTGTGCAGAGGTGAGCAACCACGTGCAGGGGGGGGGGGTCAGGCTGGGGGGGGGGGGTGTGGGGGCCCCTCTTAGAAGCACCCCTGCTTCTTAAAAGGCGCGGGTCTTTAGATGTTGGGCCAGCGCCTTCTAAGAAGCAGCCTCCTCCTAAGGAGCCTCCCCCCCTCCGCGCCGCCAAGGTTTCGTTGCATCTCCTGTGGGCCTCGTCTGTCCCCAGAATTGGTGTGTTGTTCCCAACCATCCTGTGGTGCTGGGTCTTCGTTTTGAAGAGACAACGCCCCACGTTCTCCTCCTTCCTTCCTCCTCCCCCTCCTCCTCCCTCCTCCCATCATCATCATCATCATCATCATCATCATCATCATCATCATCATCATCATCAGCAGCAGCAGCAGCAGCAGCAGCAGCAGCATCATCAGCATCATCAGCATCATCAGCATCATCAGCATCATCAGCATCATCAGCATCATCGGCATCGGCATCGGCATCGTCATCGTCATCACCATCACCATCACCATCACCATCACCATCACCATCATCTGCATCATCATCACCAGCATCATCATCACCATCACCATCATCAGCATCAGCATCAGCATCATCATCATCGTCAACACCAACAACATCATCGTCATCACCCGTTTCGGCACACCCTTCACACGTTCAGGGGTTCAATGGGGAACCCTACCGAAGGCCCAAATGCCAGCGTTCGCATGCGCCCACCGCACCCATTTTGGCACACCCCTTCAAACGCGTCGTGGCCCCACAGGGAGCCCTACCGAAGGCCCAAATGCCTGCGTTCGAATACGCCCACCCACCGATTTTGGAACACCCCTCTCACGCTTCGTGGCCCCATGGGGAGCCCTACCGAACGCCCAAATGCCTGCTTTCGCATGCTCCCACCGCACCCATTTTGGCACACCCCTCACACGCTTCGTTTCCCCTCCGACCCACCGTCCCGCTCAGCTCGCCCGATGCCTCCTTGGGATTGTCGCCCTTCGGGAGATGGGTGACCTTGCCCTCCCCCTAGGGCGTCTTCAGCAACGCGGGGGATTGCTCTGAGGCCCGGGCCGGCTTTGCCGCTCGCTGCCATGCCAAGGGCGGGCCCTTCGCGGGGCGCCGCGATCGCGCGCTCGGAGTGTTCCCGCCGACGGCCTGCTGGACTTCGGCGCCGCAGTCGAGAGCTCCTCGAGGCCACCGTCCGATTTGTGAGGTGGGCGCCGCTCCGCAGGGTTGGAGCGAGGCGGACGCTGACGACCGTGTCTTCAGCGACCGCCGTCAGCCGATCTTGCGCCCTGGCCCCCTCGGCGACCCCAGCATCCGCCAGGTATGCCATGTCCTCGAGCGCGCCGGAGTCGCCTCCGCGCCCGTGGGCCCCAGGCCGCAGGTCCGCGAGGATCCCCGCGCTGGCCCGGCCGCCACCGGCTGCTCTTCTCAGCGGGCCACGGGAGCGCCGGCGGCCAGGTTGAGCTTCAGCCGACCCCCCTCTTCCGCCTCGTATAGGGGGCCGCATGCGAACCCTACCCCTACCCCCCACGATTTCTGAGGGGGGGGTAGGGGGAGGGTTCGCATGTGGTCTCCTGTCATAGCCGGAGGCCCCCGTCAGTTCCGCCGCCCCCCTCTGCTGCCCCATCTGCCCAGGAAGGCGCGGGTCCCAGACAGCGCGGCCTGCGGGCCCCGCCCCGACGCGGGGGCACCGGCGCCGGCGACGCGGGCGCCGACGGCCTCGGTGGCAGCGCGGCGGAGGCCATCCCGTCGCGGACCTCCGCCGCCTGCTCCCGCGCGGCGCCCGCGGGCCTGCCGCGTGCGCGCGCCGATCCATCTCCAGGGCGACCTCGCGACGCTCTCCTCCGTGGTGGCCCTCTGCCAGCTGACGGCCCTGGCCTCGGGTGCGCGCCCGGGCCTTCTTCCCTTCCCCCCGGCGAGGGTTTTCTGTGCGCGCGTTGCGGCGTTTCTTCGCGGAAGGCTGCAATTGTTGCGTCCGCCCCCGATGCCGCTCTCGCCCCGCCCAACATCGACGAGCTCCTCCTCGACGGACTCGGGGAGCTGGCCCGCGCAACCCGGAGTGGTGGTTCCTCCCGTGGGGCCTCTCCCGGGGCGGCGCCGCTGGGAGGGCGTCGAGCTCGGCGAAGTGCGCGAGGCCAGCCCCGAGATCCAGGCGTTCTTCCCGCAGCGCTTTGTCACCATGGGGGGCGCTCGGCCGCCCCCGCCCGCCCATCGCAGCCACCCTGCGGGCCTGCGCCGGGGCCCCCTGCCGGGCAGCCCCCCGGCCGCGCGGGGACCGCCCGCGCGCCCAGAGGGCGCGGCCCCGGGCAGCGTGGCCGGCCCTCCACCCTTATGATTCGGAGGTGGACAGTGCCCCCAGCAGTGACACGTCGATTAGTGAATTGGCCGTTTTCGGTTCTCGAGAGGGCGCCGCGGCCGTTATTTTCCAGGCTTGCGTCCGCCAGGTTTGGGCCTCAGGTCGTTTTCACTAAACCACGTTTTACTAAAGGGAGGTCTGTCCACCCCCGAATGATGCTCCAACCTACTTCAGCCTGGACCACCAGAAAGAGTTTCGAGCACCCAAAGAGTACCGAAACTGGAGGGGGTTCCGCGTGTCGGGCCCTGGGAGACACTCGTCCGGCACTGTTTCGACACTCTGTCGACACTTTTCAGGGTGCTCGAAATTCTTTCCGGGCTGTGGGTTTTAAGTACGATGGGAACAACACAACTCCATCCGTCGGCCTACCCTTGGCCGGTTTCGCGGTCACTCCCACCGCTGAGTTCCCCCAGCCGGGCCCGGCGCTCGCTGCGGCTGGCCCTGCAGAGCAGGGGCGTCGACGGGCGGAGCTCTCCAGCGCTCCCTTCTCGGGCGCCGCCGCGCGACTTCCGCCGACCCCCGCCCCCGGACCTCCTCCGCTGCCTCCCCAGAGGCCCGAGGATCTGAGTTTTTGAATCTGGAGGTTTTTCCTAGATTTCGGCCTCTGGGGCCAGTTCTCGGGCCCGGGGGCCAGCAAACATGGATCCTGGACGAAAAAATAACTCCTGGGGCAGGGGTCGGGACCTCTGGGGCCGCGGAGAGACAAAATCGGATCGGCGGATGTCTGGGTCTGGTCTCGCGCCAGTGGCTCCAGGGGTCGCCCGGCCGGGCGCGACCCAGCCTCGGGGCTGCCGGCGTTTTATTAGCATTCCGCCGAGCCTCCTCTCGCCTCGTCAAGCGTGTTGACGACGTGTGGAGTGTCCTGGGGGCTGCGTGCTTCTGGGGGGGCCTTTCGCCCGCGCCGCGCCGCGCGGGGAACTCTTCCTGCGCGGCGATCCCAGCCTGGTGGGGTTCCGCTGCCTGGCGGCGTTCGCTGACTCTTTCGACCGCGGGCTGCTCCAGGGCTGGCGCCGCAAGGGCCGCGAAGGGAATCGCTCCCTTGATTCGGAACTCATGGGCGCCTGGGCTTGCAGGTCCCTCCTGTGGGGGGCTGCTGGGCGGCCCAGCGCTCGGGGGCGCCGCGGGAGCAGCTCGTGCTCCCGCGGACCGCTCGCGCTCCACGGCCCCCTTCGCGCGTCCCGTCCGCCGTCTGGAGGCCCGCCCTTCAGCCCGCGCGGGACTGGCACCGCCGCTCATCCGTGGGCCTGTGGCCGCCACTTGGCCCCCTGCCCCCGCCTTCCTCGCCGCCTCCACTCCTGGTCCTGGGTGGCTCGCCTGGGGTCGCCCTGGCATCTAGTTCTGAGGTTCGTCCAGCCGGCGCGCCTGCGCCACTCCGCCCCCCCGCGCCAGGTCCTGCTCCGGCCTGTTCCCACGCCGCGCCTGCTGGCCGCCCTGACGACGTCGAGCCTCCGCGCACCCCGCCTCGATCCCCCTCGCCTGGCGTCGCTTCTGGCTCCGCCGGCAAATCCGACGACGCTCATGGTTCACCGTCTCCGCGCCAACAAAATCATTCCCCAGTGTGCGCGCGACGCTCCTGCAGACCGCTTCGTTGCGGTCGAGTGGCGCATGTGGGCGCAATGCCAATCTGGAGGCGGGCCGGACATCGCCGGCGCCGTGTGTCCATCGCCCAGCGCATGCTCGGCTGCGGAACTCGAGGCTTTTTTCGCCCCCCTCGACCTTTCCACTCTGGGCGGCGCCGCTTCCCCGCGTGGCCCCCAGGCGGAGGGCGCGGTTCCCGGCGAGGGCGGCCCT